ATTCAAAAATTAATAACACCAATAAATAGTCAATTCTTTTTGTCGAGTTGAGTTGGTTCTATTTCGTATTTCTTATTAGTTTGTATTAGAGAAAATGAAAAAAAGGGTTAGTAAAGAATAAAAAATTGACAATACACAAACAGGAAAAAAAAAACATTCACTGGAATGAAAAGGAATGGTTGTATTTATGACATAAAATAAGCTGCACTGTTTCCACATTTTGTTGGGGTTCTTTTTAAGGAGATAGGAGGTTTTTTTGGTTTGTTTGGGGTTGTTTGTTTTGTGTTATTTTGTTGTTGTTGTTGTTGTTGTTTTGTTGGTTTTTTGGGTTTTTTTGTTTGTTTGTTGTTGTTGTTTTTTTTTTGTTGTTGTTTTGTTGGGGGGGGGGGGGGGGGGGTCGGAGACAGGTTGCATGGGTCTTTTTGAAAATGACGTTTTGTGTTCTGCTTTAGATTTGTCTGTAATACTGTCTTTAGCTTGTTAACACTTTTTTGTATTTGCTTTTACTTTGGATCTGTTTACGTGTCATTACCCTAACCACTGCACAGCGTCGACGTAGATCTCACGTCTCCTCCCACTCCACTCACTCCTTCCCCCATGACTACCCAAACCCCTCCTCCTTTCATTCCCCCTTCCCCGCACCCTCCCCCCTCTTACAACTGCTCTCCCTTCACTCCTCCCCCTTCCCCTCCCACCATTTCCATCCCAACACTCCCATGCCCCCTCCCCCTCCGCCCACAGTTAGCAGTACTGACGCCTCAGTTAATACGTCATTGGTACTGCCAATTCTGTGCTCTCGAAGAGTATTCTAAATAAAGAAGTTTTGCTGGTGCAAGAACTTAAATTCATTATATAACAATAAAGATAAACAAATTTATTCCTTTTTATGGATTTTGATCATTTGCATACGCCATACGTAATTACCGTAGGTTAGTTCGGGTTGACTACTGTTTGCGACGTAATCTTAGCACACGTTAATAAAACACAATCTAGGCATGATAGGTCAGCATTTGGTCAACTTGGTATTCACTTGCTTTACTTCTGCATTTTTTTAAGGTGTTGTTTATTAGAAATCACGAACGGTATGTAATTAGGTTTTCTTGTTAGAGTGGCTGAGGGGTAAAAACAGTTCGAGAGTGTGTAGGGGAGGGCAAAGTTTTGTCAACACAAAGGTCGTTTCTGCAAGATCAGCTCAATGTCCCTTTAGTTGTGGGGTTGAGAGAGCTGACAGTTTTTCAGCTGTCGGTGGAGAGCAAAGATAACGAACTCCAAAAATCAAACAAAAACGTAGCCTACAATGAATTCTGTTTACCTAGGTTTTAATCACATGTTTTCTATTCGCTGGCGTGTTTGTTTGCTTCTTAGTTTGTTTCTCTGTTTGTTTGTTTGTTTGTTCGTCTTTTTTTCGAATTAAAAAGTACGGCTGGGGTTTCAAAGAAAAAAGTAGGTAGATAGACACGGAGAAAGAGACAGAGGGACACAGAGAAAGAGAGAGAGAAGGGGAAAGAGAGAGAGAGGGAGAGAGAGAGAGTGACAGAGAGAGAGTGAGAGAGAGAAATAATATGTGTGCGTTTGTGTTTGTTTGTTTGTTTTGTTTGTTTTTGTTTTTGTTTTGTGTTTTGTAAGTATTTTACGACACTCGCAACTGAAAGTCATATGAGCGCACGGGACACATTAGACGTTTCCAGTTATTTCTTGTATTTCCTGAATTCGATTTGGTTTTTCTTTTTCTGTTTTTGAGTATATGTATACAAATGCGCGCGCGCGCGCGGGCGCGGGCGCGGGCGTGTGTGTGTGCCTTATGTGTGTATGTTTGTATGTGCGTGTGTGTTCCTAACGCTTGTCGTTTTTCTTTCATTCTTCTTTTTTGACGCACACACACACACACACACACACACACACACACACACACATACACACAAACGGACACATACTCTCTCTCACTCGCTCTCTCTCTCTTTCTCTCTCTTTCTCTCTCTTTCTCTCTCTCTCTCTCTCTCTCTCTCTCTCTCTCTCTCTCTCTCTCTCTCTCTCTCTCTCTCTCTGTCTCTGTCTTTCTCTGTGCCTATCTCCCTACTTTCTTTTTTTTTCTTTGTGTGTGTATGTATATATATTATATATATATATACATATAATGTGTATATATATATATAATATTTCAGTGAAAACGCGTAATCCCTGTTTCACTCAGAGAATTCACGTAATCACTGAAATAATCAGGAAATACGTGAAATCCCTGAAAAATGGTGTGTGAGAGAGGGTGACCAAAGATAGATAACAAGGCTAAAACAGCTCCTGGACATGGATCGCTGGTGTCACTATATATACATTATTGATGGTCAAAGGTGGATAGAGAGGGAATGTCGTCAGGTAGTCCAACGGTCTGTCTGTCTGTCTCTTCCGTGCCTCACTCTCTCTCTCTCTCTCTCTCTCTCTCTCTCTCTCTCTCTCTCTCTCTCTCTTTCTCTCTCTCTCTCTCTCTCTCTCTCTCTCTCTCTCTCTCTCTCTATCTATCTATTTATCTCTCTTTCTCTCTCTCTCTCTATCTATCTCTCTCTCTCTCTCTTTCTCTCTCCCCCCCCCCCTCTTCCCTCATCCCCTTACATAGTGGGGACCGGACTGAGAGAAAGGAGAGGACACTCCGGTATCTGTCCGCCGACCTGTCATAGTTCGTTAAGCGTGAATATGTGCAGAGGACAGTAAGCTGATCGTGAGCTATGTGGTTGCTAGATGCCGCCCTCCAAACCTCCAATGCCCCCCCCCCT